CAGATAAGCATCTATCAAAGAAACTTCTGAACTGACCCTCGGTAAAGCAGCTCCACAGAGGAATACCCGACATAACTCGCTTCGAGATAGACATTCGATGCTTAGCGTCGGCCTCAAGAGCATCGCGACAAGAGGACTCATCAGCCAAATAGCCAATCTCTAGTTGATACCTCGAAAATACGGTGCTATTCTGAGCGCACTCAGGATCTACAACCATAAGTGCAGTTGAATATCTGGCGAACTGCATCATCCACTTGCCCATGCTGAACCTGGGGGTAGGATTCTCTTTGTCCTTGCCCTCTTTCACCTCCTCTAAAACCACTACTACTGACCCAGTTACCGTGGGCCGGATGCGTTGCTTCGTTGCCGTCCCTGCATGGGACTCGTCGAAGTTCTTGAATTCAACGTAAGCTGCAGGCGACTTAATCATATTGTTCAGGACTCTCACATCGGGGAGGAGGTCAGGACTAATGTAGCCGAGTTTCGCATTGGCCGTTCTGACCAAATTCAATGCACCATAATCCGGCGAGGCCGTCGCAGCTTTCGTCTGCGCGTATCCTTGTTCTAGCACACGACGAGCCTCGTCAGACATAGCCAGCCCGAACAACTTGGCTGCTTGTGCTCGAGCAGGATCGAGCCGTGGGAAGTCTCTGCCCACGTCGCCTTCTTGAAGCGCCAAGTTAGTTTCGATGAGAGACTTCCAGTCGCTCTCACTTATCTTCGAAATCAACTCGAGTCGATCTAGGTCATCTCTGGTGAGCCAGTCAACGAGACAAGGCCCGATATCAACCGGAACACCCAAGACATTCAGCATCTCCGCTGCCGGGGAGACTGGGGGCGCAGCCTGACGGAGTTCGACAGGTTCCATTTTTTTAACGAAGGGTATTCCTAAAGGATGTCCATTATAAGACTGAGATTACGACACGCTTTTTTTTACGAATGAAATGAGTATTGTATCATGGCCGATGTATGTTGGCCGAGAGCAGTCTGAGATGGTAATACCGTCATGGTATGGGCAAGTTGTCAATGACAACTATCAGTCGTAGGCCACGATTCGTGGCTCCGAATTTCCGAAAAAAACGATTCGGTGAAGAACCATGCCAACGTTATCGACTCGATGATTTATTCGGCGAACTAGATCGATCAAAGTGAACTCAGTCTCAACGCAAGGCCAAATATTTTGACAACGAACTCTCGACTGAACCACACTAGCACACAGCGAAGCAAAGGGATCGATCTGTAACGAGTAGGTTCACCCGTAGGAGTGGCCTTTGTCACAGACTAATGTCGCAGCTCATTGTTGGGCCGTGACAAGTAGACTAATCCGTAGGAGTGGCCCTTGCCACAGTCTTTATAAGACCCAATGTCGCAGCTCATTGCTGAGCCGTAACAAGTAGGTTAATCCGTAGGAGTGGCCCTCGCCACAGTCTTTAAAAGACCTAATGTCGCAGCACATTGCTGAGCCGTAACAAGTAGGTTAATCCGTAGGAGTGGCCCTTGCCATAGTCTTTATAAGACCTAATGTCGCAGCTCATTGCTGAGCCGTAACAAGTAGGTTTATCCGTAGGAGTGGCCCTTGCCATAGTCTTTCTAAGACCAAATGTCACAGCTCACTGCTGAGCCGTAGAAGTAGGTTAATCCCTACGAATGGCCCTTGCCATAGTCTTTATAAGACCTAATGTCGCAGCTCATTGTTGGGCCGTGACAAGTAGACTAATCCGTAGGAGTGGCCCTTGCCACAGTCTTTATAAGACCCAATGTCGCAGCTCATTGCTGAGCCGTAACAAGTAGGTTAATCCGTAGGAGTGGCCCTCGCCACAGTCTTTAAAAGACCTAATGTCGCAGCACATTGCTGAGCCGTAACAAGTAGGTTAATCCGTAGGAGTGGCCCTTGCCATAGTCTTTATAAGACCTAATGTCGCAGCTCATTGCTGAGCCGTAACAAGTAGGTTTATCCGTAGGAGTGGCCCTTGCCATAGTCTTTCTAAGACCAAATGTCACAGCTCACTGCTGAGCCGTAGAAGTAGGTTAATCCCTACGAATGGCCCTTGCCATAGTCTTTATAAGACCTAATGTCGCAGCACATTGCTGAGCCGTAACAAGTAGGTTAATCCGTAGGAGTGGCCCTTGCCATAGTCTTTATAAGACCTAATGTCGCAGCTCATCGCTGAGCCGTAACAAGTAGGTTAATCCGTAGGAGTGGCCCTTGCCATAGTGTTTGTAAGACCTAATGTCGCAGCTCATTGCTGAGCCGTAACAAGTAGGTTAATCCATAGGAGTGGCCCTTGCCACAGTCTTTATAAGACCTTAAGTCGCCGCTCATTGCTGAGCCGTAACAAGTGGGTGAGTCGGCCAGGGTAGTCCTTACCATAATCGGGGGGAACGCATGTCACAACTCACTACTGACCGTGACGAGTACTTAAATGAATTGGGATAGCCCTTGCCATAGTCGAAAAGACTAACGATGAATGGGTGAGTCATAACGGAGGCCCTTGTAACAAAAAATGATTCATGGCCGCACCTCGGTGCGCCCATTCGCGCGAAGAATCGCGATGAATGTTGATGCCTATGAGGGTGTTGCGATCGATTCACCACAGCGCACGCAATATGATATCGATTAACCGGGAACACAATGCAGTGCACGCGTGCACTCCCTCCCTTCCTGTTTTTACTGTCGCTACGTTTCACTGCGCTCTCAATTCTTAAAGGGGTCAATTCATTGGAGATCGTTCGTTGGCAGACCAACAATCTTCTTGTACCCTTAGCCTCAGCATGTATCCCGACGAGTCACAAGGGTATACAATCAACATCGACATCTGTACGGCCAGTGGCATCCGTATATGGGCGCTTCCCGGCGTAGAGGCGATCTCGATGGGACTCGAACCAACAGTTTTTGGTTCCGAAGACCAACGCCTTATCCATTAGGTTACGAGACCAATGAATTTGAGGTTTACCCCACTATCTCGTCACTACGCGCAACACTGACTTAACGGCACACATGATTTCGCATCCGAGACGCTGAATAGATCACAAAACTCTTGCTCCTCATAGAGGGGCCTCCATTACATAGTGTTTTCAATGAGGTCAATTCATTGGAGATCGTTCGTTGGCAGACCAACAATCTTCTTGTACCCTTAGCCTCAGCATGTATCCCGACGAGTCACAAGGGTATACAATCAACATCGACATCTGTAAGGCCAGTGGCATCCGTATATGGGCCCTTTCCGGCGTGGAGACGATCTCGATGGGACTCGAACCCACAATCTTTGGTTCCATTAGGCCACGAGACCAGTAAGTTTGAGATTTGTCCCACCATCTCTGCGCCCCATTGACTTCATGGCACACATGGTTTCCCATCTGACACGCTGAATAGATCACAAAACTCTTGCTCCTCATAGAGGGGCCTCCATTACATAGTGTTCTTGAAGGGGTCAATTCATTGGAGATCGCTTGTTGGCAGACCAACAATCTTCTTGTACCGTTAGCTTCAGCATGTATTCCGACGAGTCACAAGGGTGTACAATCAACATCGACATCTGTACGGCCAGTGGCATCCGTGTATGGGCACTTTTCGGCTTGAAGAGGATCTCGGTGGGACTCGAACCCACAATCTTTGGTTCCGAAGACCAACGCCTTAT